GAGCGCGTTTTTTAACATTGTATCGAAATATCTCAGTTTGTATAGAAAATACGCGCCATACAACACCTTACCTATTTCTGCCGCCAAGTAGTAATGTCAGCCTTACTGTCTTCCGGTTTTGAAAGGCACGCATTTGGAAATTGCACTATAGCACCCCGTACTATCATATTCTGATATTTAATTTTACGATAAATGCCATCACTGTCCACGAACGGGTTAACTAGAGTGTAAATATGTTATCTCATAGCAAAATTCTTACTCAGGTCTTTGACATTGTGTATGAAACACATTGGGTATGAAACTATTATTTGTAGACGCGTTGTCAGTTTTTTAAATCTTTTTATAATATCTAGTAACGGGACGAACAAGTTATGCGCCTGATGGTAAGCTACACGCCTGTCCGTAACAGTTGCAGTGCCCCTCAGAGATTTAAATTGCAAAGATCTGAGGGGCACCGCTATTGCGTCGGTCACCCTGAAACGTAAGTTTACAAGTCCCATGTGCATGTAATTTCACCAGCACCCTTACCCTTCAAAACCGGAACATAGTAATGCTGACATTACTGCTTAGCAGCAGAAATACGTAAGGTGGCAGTACTACCCTGGACGAACTTTTTCACAAGGAGCTCTACTGCTACCTAAAGTGTGAATCCTAGTTTTTCTATTAAAGTACTTTACTTTTGTTTTCTTTAAATACGTTAAATTTCTTACACATTATGAAATCCCTGAATTACACTAGGATTTTACTTTTGAACAGGATAGGAACTTTAGCATTTTCTCTCAAAACATAATAATTCTCAGTATTTCAAAAGTCAAATGTCGCATGACCACCGGTGGTACACTCTGAAGTGATAGAAAAAACATATGAAATTACGCTTTAATACGGTATAACGGACTGGTTTCCACAATTCAAAGTCGTAATGCCTATTTTGCGTATGAAGGATATTATTGCATTACTGTAGTCCTAACGTACTTTAGAAGCTTCATAACGTCACAATTCTAAACAAAATGGCCGCGAAGTTAGACAACATTTTGATGAGTGGGGCCGTAAAAGTTTTAAATCAATGAAACGATTTAGAAAAGTGAGATGTCCAATTAAACTTTAAAAACCTTTACGAAATGAGCGAGAAAAACAATTCAGAAAAAAAACACACACTCATGTGAACTAGTGCAAAGCTTTGAGGTCGAACGTAGCTATTAGCACGTTATTTTGTTTAACGTTTCACACGTGTAGTAACAGTAGAGCTTCTTGTGAAAGAGTTCGTCCAGGGTAGTACTGCCACCTTACGTATTTTTGCTGCCAAGCAATAATGTCAGCATTATTGCATTCCGGTTTTGACGGGTAAGGGTGAAATTATAGGCACATGGGACTTGTCAACTTACCTATGTCTCAGGGTGACGCGCGTAGTAGTAGTGCCCCTCAGATCTTTGCAATTTAAAGATCTAAGTGGCATTGTAAATGTTATGGACAGACGTGTAGCTTACCATCAGACGCACGACTTGTTCGTCCCGTCGCTTGATGTTATAAAAAAAAATTCAGACCAATTATACGTCAGACCTTCAACATGAAGAACTTTTACTTGAAAAGAAAATTCACACCTTTTTTTTATACCTCAAGGTACCTTGACAAATATAATAACAACCAACTAATTAAATACTAATTATACAAAGATGGAGGAAAACAAAAAAATCCTTCGATCTGTTTGTCGGTTACTCATTGGCTAAGCGGTTACATACGGCGACTTTTAGCAGCGATGCAAACGTGATGCAGTAGCTAATCGTCTACATTTACACACACGCGCAACTTTAAGCAGCGATGGAAAAGCGCGACTGTAACCACTTTAAGAGCGGTGGCCCCGGCATGGCAACAGACACTGGTGCGAGTGCGAGTTGTTCGATCTTTATAGCAATCATCATCATCACCATCAACTCGTTTATACGTCCCACTGTTGCGCACAGGTCTCCTCTCAGGCGAGTACAGGCCATAGTCCACCAAGCTGGTCAATTGCGGGTTTTTTTAAAGATACCAAATGTTAGAATGAACAAGTCGTGCGCCTGGTGGTAATCGATACGCCTGTCCATAACAGTAGCAATTAGAGGCACTGCAACTGCGCCTGTTAGTCTGAGATGTAAGTTAACAAGTCCCATGTGCATTAATTTCACCAGCACCTTTCAAAACTGGAACGCAGTAATGATCACGTAACTGCTTGGCGGTAAAAATAGGTAAGTTGGCGGTACTTCCCTGAACAAACACTTTCACAAGGAGCCCTGTTGCTACTAAAATGGGTTGTGAACTTTACACGTTTGATTGATTGCCCAAATAAATCTATTACTAAGTATCTACATAAGATTTAAGGTGATCCAAACGAGTTTAGAGTTTGAGAGAAATTCCAAAAGAGGTTCATTAATTCCTGGTTCAATTACCTCTAATCTGTTAAATGGGTAGTTAATTCCGCACCGTGTAATTAAATAACACTCCCAAACTATGCGATTGGATAATCATGGTATATAAGTTGCTGTAAAATAATAGTGAAAATATATTTGAAACAAATAAACGCTATTATTCATACGAAGGCAAAACAACTTACTTACTTACTTCTACTGGCTCAGCGACCCGAAGTGGATTTTGGCCTCTGACACTAAGTTGCGCCACTTTTCTCTCTTCTGTGTCGCTTGTTGCCAATCGGCTATTCGAAGCTTATACAGGTCTTTGTGGATTTGGTAGATCCAGCGATACCTAGGACGTCCAACCGGTCTTCTATCAATCGGTTGCCCCAGATATCCTCTCGTGACTGCACGATCCTCACCCATTCTCTCGACGTGACCAAGCCAGTGAAGTCGGGCTGATTTGGTCTCACCCCTGATGTTAGGCTCTTTTATCAAATCCTCGCGCTGGCTCTCACGGTGTAGAGGAGCGTCTCCCGAGTAGCGGTCGGTAGTATCGTCTAGCTACGCTATCCGACTTGGTCCGATGGACTCGCTGACCAACGACGGGTGTGGTCCTCCAGCATTTCGGGGGTTATGCGGGGGGTACACAACCCTCCCACGTAAAAAATACACTATTACGAGACCGACAAGAGAAAGACAAAACAAACATAAACATTAAACGAAGGGAAAAATCCTTCGATACAGCTGGATTCGAAGCAACATCCGTCCGAAGCAATTATTTTTAAATATGTCATACTCGAAAAAATCAAAACGCAATGTCAAGTATAAAACTTCGCTCACATCATGCGACTTTTAATTTTATCGAGTATTTACTTATTTCACAGTAAGGGCTCGTTCCCATTATGTCGTGATGAGAGATACTTGTCCAGTTTAAAGTGTCGTGGCTTGTGTATTTAAATGAAGTTGTTCACATATAGTAAAACACGATTAACTGTTGTTCACGAATTTTTTGACTTTACGACGACAGCCTGTCGTGACAATGAGAAGAGCTAGAACGACAGTCATCAGACGATGATTAAAACGTCACGATAAAAATGTGACGACAGATAATCACAGCTAGAAATGACAAGGCCGCTGCCATGAACCCATAAATTGTCGTCACGATGGCAATAGCTAGACACGACAGTCGTTCAACGATAAAATAAACGTCCACGACACAGTCACGACAGATAGTCGGGTATGGGAACAGGGACAGTCGTCGAACGATAAATAAAACGTTACGACGTAATGGGAACGCGCCCAAACTGTCAAATAAGCAATACTCGATTAAATCAAAATACAAGTATCAAGTATGAAGCTTCATTCGCCTCATGCGTGTTTTAATTTGTTCGAGTATTACTTATTTCACAGTAATTGTTTTGGACGGATGTTGGACGGAGAACGGGAGTAGACGCCCAGACCGGGCTCCCTAACCCTCCCTAACCTAACCCTAACCGCTCTCCCAACTGAGCTACGGAACGAATCAACAGCAGACCTCACGAATTTCTCTATGTGCTTATTGCCGATCGTTGCTTTTATTTAACGGCTTTTACCGTACAAATATACGATTTTGTATTCGTTTCAAATATTTACCTTTATTTATATATAGCAAAAAAAAAGAAAGAAAATACTCGTTTCACGATAATAACACACCGTTCAAGAAGGCCGTAAAACGATCCATTTAACATGAGATATTTAGATAGTAACGTGTGGTCTTTAACAGTCGAGGTTATAATTTGAAATATGGCCTACTACAGACAGATGAATATGCTTTACGATCGGGCTTAACACTGCTTTTTACTTTGACAAAACAATAAATAAATAAAAACTTGCTACCTGCTGACTACTTTCGAGCCATTGTAGTATTTTTTAATTCTTGATTGTATACGGAACGCAAAGGAGTTAGAATGAGTTAGTATTTTTACTAGTTGTGATTAGTATGTTTATTTCTATTACTAAAGAGAAATGGAAGAACGGGCCTTTCTGTCACGTGTAGATAATACTTATAGGAAATCCCAACCGTAATGTCATTAGGTATTAAGAAGAAAGAAATAAATCTTTTTAATTTTTTCCTTTGAAATGCAGTGAACTGTACAGTGAACTCACCTAAAGCTATTAAAGTTGGCTGAAAGCTCGTAACGTCGGGAATAGTGCAGTGTAACGCGTAACTGACATTGGATTATGAGTTTCCATTTCGGTAATTTAATGGCCAAATCCCGCGTAAATGTCGTGGCAACCAAATTAGCGTGATGTACGGGAATCTATTGTTATCAGTTTGAAGATATCATAAATTAATACTTACTGTCCAAAAATGAAAGTCATAACCATTGAAATAACAAATAACGTGAAATGAATTTCGTGTAATATTTGCTCTAATGCAGATACGCGCATTTCCCCGAACCCCGACGAAAGTTTTCTAGTATATAATAGTGGAGCAAAGGGTTATAATCAATAACACTGTACCTCATGCAAAATAGGTTACGATGTCGAGTTGCGAGAAACGAGACCGTTTAGGCAATATGAATACCAAATAACATATGCTAACACGTATTCTAACATGAGCCAGGTACTCACATGAGGAGATCCAATCGATTTTCGACTGTCGCTGTTACTTGGTTGTCGCGAGAAGCTGGGAGCGTGGACGCTAAGCGGCGAGCCTGGTTCGGAGTCTGTTTTGCCATCATTGCTACTGTTGCCAGCTTCCTGTGGGAGAAATTGCCCCAAGTTATACAGAATGCTAGTGATATTAATGTGTCAATGATTGGTGTTATTATATACTGTAAGTCCTTTTATTCTTAAGCTAGATTGTGACGAGAAAAATATATCAATATTTAATTAAGGAGATGGAAGGACATTATTTTCGTCGCGTAATATAACGTCAGATGTTATATATATATTTTTTTTATTAAAACATTTTTAATATAAGCTTTATAGCGCACACTTGCAGTAATAAGGCCACATCTGCAACATGACAACTTCTCAGGAGAAGGGCTTAAAGATTCTAAAATTTCACATGATATACATATATCGACAATGGAAATTTGAAATGTCGTATGGGACATTTTGTCGTAAGGGAAAATGTCCAAATTTCACTGTCTCGATATAAAGGTAGTAATTTTGTTATGTACTTATCGAATTTTAAAATGTCGTAAGGAACATTTTCACGTAAGGGAAATCTCAAAATTGTACAATCGATATACATATAATTCGTTTTAAGAATAAAAACTACAATATGGTAAATTAAACTTGTTTATTCTAAACTTTATTCTTAGTTTATTTATTAATAAACTTTATTCTTTTCCGCAGATTAATAAAGTATACCAACGATTACGAGAGATTTGTACCTATGGAATATCGAACAAGTGATTTTTAACAAAAGCAAACTGATTTTTGTTCCGTGTCATGAACACTTTCATATCACAAAATATAATTGGACCGTTGTAAGAGTCTGAATCCGGCAATATTGTCGATATTTGCGCTGCGGTTTAGGAGGTATCACGTTTTATGTGGAGCAACTGCTATTCTTTATTTTTTCCGTGGCGTGAAATTAATTTAAGTGTATAGTTATACTTAAATCAATTTCATAGTGAAATCATATGAAGCTATTTTTTCAAAATCAAAGTTAAAGTCAAAGATTATTTATTCCATAGGTAAAATAAATTTACACTTGAAATCGTCACATTTATGCTACCGCTCGTTCACTACGCTGACCTCCCTGAGAAAAACGAGCAAGAAACTCTATTGCTCTTTTCAAATAAACTTAAATGCTATGGAATACACTTTAAATCAAATTTGTGTGGATTCTGGAGCCATGTCGTCTTTCCATACATCTTTATCTAACACGTAGTCTTCAATTTTGTAACATGATTTTTCGATCAAAATATTTTTAATGTAGTTTTTAAACTTAGGAAATGATAAACTTAATATATGCTCCGGAATCTTATTGTAAAAACGTATACAGTTCCCCATAAAAGAGTTGTTTACCTTGGTTAAACGAAATCGTGGTACCATAAGTTTGGACTTTGCTCTAAGGTTAATATTATGGATATCTTCTTTCTTATTGAAATTATGTATACGGACATATAAAATATTTGAGTAAATGTATTGTGATGCCACAGTCATGATACCAGTCTCCTTAAACTTTTCTCTCAGAGAAACCCGAGAGCCTAGACGGTACACAGAACGAATCGCTCGTTTTTGCAATACAAATATGGTTTGAATATCTGCCGCTTTATCCCACATGAGAATCCCGTAGGACATTATACTATGGAAGTAACTAAAGTAAACTGGTCTAGCAGTACTAACATCGGTAAGCTCACGTACTCTGCGGACTGCGTATGCAGCGGAGCTTAATCTGCTGGCCAGGGAATTTAGTCGTTGCGATTATTTCGATACATGTTTGTTTTACATGAAATAGTCAATTAGTTAGCGCGTAGTAATTTCGTTACATGTACTAACAATGTTCCTAAAATAATTCGAATTCTTGGTATAATACAGCCACATGTGACCATATGTATGTCAAAAGTGCTTATACACATGAAAGTAAAAAAATCACATGAAACGTGTATGTAATATTTTTAAAATACTAATAACATTGCAGGACTAGATTACTAATATCATAAACAACTACTTTTGTTCCGTGACTTTTGACAAATAGTAGTTTATGTGACTGTTACATAATAAAAGGCGTCAAATCACGATTGCGGGTTTATGTAACGAGCCGACACGCGAGTTTCATAAAAACATCACACGAGTGTTTTAATGCCTAATTATGTACAGTTACATAGACTGCTTTATATATACACATTATAAGCTCTCTGTGATGTGTTCAGGAACCGCATGTTACGACTGGCGAAATGGTGGCAAATAAAAACTTTTCTCGCGTATGTCACATCCGTACTTTTTATTTAATTCATAGATAAACAAGAGTCGACTGCAACTATCATATCGTTCGATATCAAGTAACGTGTGAAATTTGTGAAAATTGTTTGCTACTGACATTTAATTTCGAATAAAACTTCATCTCGACTGATATTAGAATTGAGGTCAAATCAAATTGTTTTCTTTTTCAGAGATGTTCGAAATTTGAATGTAATAATAAAATCGAATTCGATGTTATTATTGCATAATAATTAATAATAACATTTTCACAGATAACAAATTTGTTCGAACACAACAAGATGTCTTTATGCTCGTCATAATTCGCGGTTTTTGAACACATTGTAGAGGGTTTATGATATGTGTGTAAACATAATAAATATATCAAAAAGTATTTTGGTACTACCTGACATTTTTAGATCTGTATTTGGTAGTAAGGTAGTAGCGTCCTCTCCGACGACACCCGCATTTTGCACCAAATTATCACCTTTTAGAGCAATCTATTTAAATATTTTTATTTTTGTATGAAAGTAAAATCTGACGAATTATTAAGTCATGGAATAAAAGTTGTTGTACAAGATGTTGGTAATACAGCCCTGTGAGATTATAAGTATTTTACAAATAACCCTGTATATGTGAAACTCTCCTGTTTAAACATAAAAATGTTATCGACCAATTTTGTTTGTAGAATGTGCAAACATCTCTCTTGAAAGGCTGTCATTTTGTAGACGTGGCCTTATTAACCAAGCTTGCGAATTTTAGTTAATGCTTGTTGAAACTTTCCGATAATTCGAAAAAGGATCATTATATTGTGAATATTGGTCGACCATTGAGGTCGATCAATATAAACAGTACCTATAAAGTTTGCCTCTAAAATTATATAGATATGTTTTTGATATAGAGGTTTTAAATAAAAATAGATATTGGCGTGGATTAAAACGAAAGCATTCACACTCCTGATGCCAATGCATGATTTTATGTAAATTTCATGTTATTATTATTTTACACTTTAGTGTTAAAATTCTAACAACTTGGCGCCACAGTGTCCTTTCTTTCTGTAAAATTATATTCAATAGAATAATGGACCGGTTGGAATGCTCAAGAGCTGGCCAACATATTGTTTTTATCATACCAAGTGATGGGACACACAAGTCGTGCGCCTGGTGGTAAGTGACACGCCTGTTCATGACAATTGCAATGCCGCTCCGAGCTTTAAATCGCTAAGATCTGAGGAGCGCTGCTGCTGCGCCCGTCACCCTAAGATGTCACATGTGCTTGTATCATTTCAAAACCGAAACGCATTGGTGCTCACGCCAAATAATGATATTTGGCGACCGAAATAGGTCAAGTAGCAGTGCTTCCCTGGACGAACTCTATCACAAGGAGCTCTACTGCTACAAAATAATCATGACCATAATGAATAGCTCATTATGGTGCTATACGCTGCTAGAATTTTGGGCACCCAACTTCATCCATTTAACGTACATTTAGTCCAAGTCGAGTGTCGGTCGTGTGTGTGGTCAAGTGGGTCGGCCAAAAAGTCTGTGAGGTATCAAAGTGTAAACAAACAACATTAAAAAAGTAGAATTTTAATAAATTATGTATTGGCCATGCTAGCTCGCACCGTGGACTAACAGTTACCGTGTCGTGTTGGATTCCCGGGCCGAGAGAAATATTTGTAAGGCCTACTATGTGTGGGTCCATGGCACCCGCGACACAGGGTTTGACTAGTGCAGGGCTATGAGTGTGTGAGTTATTATAATTATTATTTATCTATTTTAGACTCTCGCCTCTCCCATGGCCTAAACGATTGATCTAAAATCGTTTTCTTCAATTCGAATAATTTTAGAATTCCCCTTTCATAAAATCTCTTATAAAATATTGTCGTTTGATGGACTCGCCGTTATCAAAGTCGTATCCATTCAATGAAATTTGTAACGACAGAAATTAGTCAAAATCTGAAGGTGATTATTTATTTATTGAGCATTGGCTATGGAGCCATCAGCTTAAATAAGTAACAAAATACTTGCTACTTAAACATAAATTTATTTGTGCAAAAGTAGTAACTACGAAAACCCGCCATTTAAACGTTAATTAAAATTTTCCGGCCTATGTTAAAAATGCGCGCTAAAATACACCTTGTATTATCTTTAAAGGGCAAGAATATAAAAATATAGTTATCGTCGAAGAAAAAGTTTTCTCCGGTTTTCTTAATTCAAATTTTCAATAAGGACTCGTTTAGTATACCAATTTCAAAGTTAGCATAATAGTTCATCATCAATCAAGCATTGTTTAAGTTAAGGGCATTTAATATTGAAAATGCAAGGTGGCTCGAATTATGTGTCCGGGAGTATATTATTAGCGTATTTTTTTTATTAATTGAGGCTTTGATTGAGCCACCAGCATAAACGTGAAGTATTAAAGTATGTACAGAGTTTTAAATGTAGCAAAAACAATAAACATGAAAGTATAGGTAAACTAAGTACCCTATAATGAAATACCACATTCAAAAAAAGTTATTTCCAAATTACAGTATTCTGAAGATACCTACTATTTACAAATTATAAAATTATCCTACAGAAACTTGTGTGTCGTAAAAGTTCCTGTACAGTACTAGGAATTGCTTTACGTTCGAGAATGCTTTGAGTTAATGAAATAAGCAACAGACGTTGTAGAGAAAACATCAGAAATAAACGGTTAAGGTCACAGCAAACATGGGAACAATAATTACACACATAACAAGTGAGGATTTATCTTAAAATTATTTTCGTAATGACCACATACAATAACAATAGACAATATAAGATATTTTTAAAAAGAACGTT